CCCCCCCCCCCTCCAGTAAACATGTCATAAAATAAAAATTAAAAACCTTTAACAAGTTTATTTTAAGTTGATTCCTCTGAGTCCATTTTGGACGGAACGATAAAAAGTTTATTTTTCTTCACATGGAGGAACCTCTCTGTAACCCCGCCTCCCCCGGAGGTGAGTTCGGGCGGGTGAACGGAGCGGACCCTGCTCAGACTCGGGACTTTCTGCTCCTCATCCAGACCAAGACTCGCTGTGGATCTGAGGAGTCCGACCAGTTCCAGCCCAGCTCCAGGAGAAATGATCCTGAGGGAGGATCAGCTGCTGCTGTGAGTCTTCAGCTTTTACTGCCGTCGTGTGTTCGGACCTTCAGCTGATTACTGACAGAACTTCAGCTGATTACTGACCGAGCTTCAGCTGATTACTGACAGAACTTCAGCTGATTACTGACAGAACTTCAGCTGCTGACTAACAAGCTTAAAGAATAAAAACTTTTCATTGATGTGTTGAAGTGGATCTCAGCTGGACCCAAACGGAACCAGGAGGTTCTGCTCCAGACTCTGTTTTCTGGTCCAATTCGGGTCCGCAGCTGGTTCTGGTCCAGTTCGGGTCCGCAGCTGGTTCTGGTCCAGTTTCGTGCATGTTTGGCATCGGTTCAACATTGTGTGTTCAAAATGTGTCAAAACTGTTAAAGTTCTGGAAACGGCTCGGTCCAGTTTCCTGCGACCCGTTTAGACTGAATGATGGTTCTGAAGTCTGGATCGGGTCCAGGTCCCACTGAAACTGAACACCGGGGGGGCTTTGGTGAAAATGTTCTGGTACCAACAGAACTCACAGTTCTGGTTCTGATGGTTTGAATTAATTTAAAAACATTAAAATCAGTTTTTTAACTGAAGAAATGGACCAACTGGTTTTCAGAACTTCAGTCTGCCGGACCAGAACCTCCAGAACTCACCCTGAAGCCAACTCTCCAGGAAGTAGTCGGGTCCTTCCTAATCTGAATGAAACCTGTTTGATCTTCAGATTATGATAAAAGTCAGAACTGATCCGGGCTGAAGGTGGTTCAGGTTCAGAACCTGCTGGATCCAGCTGGATCAGGTTCAGAACCTTGAGCTGGGTCAGAGTCTCCGTTTATTTCACCTGGTTCTGATGTAGTCCTCCAGACCCGGTTTAGGGATCAGGTTTTGGTCTTTTGGTTCTGATGTAGTCCTCCAGACCCGGCTTCGGGATCA